GTATTCCAGAAAAAGAGCAATGTTCCCCTATCAATCTGTGAAATAAAATTCTGGGGCAATTGAAACTGCGAGTTTTTAGAACTGAAAACATTTACGGTACTCGCGTGATTTACGACCTCTGAACTTGCAGTTGTCGACGTGATGAATACATGCGAGAACTTAGACAGCACTTGAAACTCTGGCGCAAATTCGCCACTTTTCCGCCAGCTTAAACACCAGTTAAACCAAAGACGATTTTAGATTTCACAGTGGTAAATTTTCAAAAATAAAAGCAATTTTATTTTACGAAAGTGTGCTATGAACTTCTTGACTACAACACTTCCCTTACGTGCGTATTTGTTTACTTTTGCCGTATTTGTAACAGTTATCATATATGTACAAACGGGCTTTAGTGTCGGTAGCTATTCTTTAAAATGCTCTCATTCCTCATGAACCAAATCGTTATAGCTATAAAAAAGGAAAACGTTTTGACCTACCTCACATTATTTGCATTTGCTAACAGAACCTAATCCTTTACTGCCTTTAACGCAATGAGATTGCGTGAAAAAAAACTTTGAGACCCAGGTTATACCGCGAAGACAGATACCATTTCGAAAAAGACACTCGATCACGCGCTGCCTTTTGTAACTAATATATAGATTTAGCCAGGGCTAAAAGCGAGGCTCCCATTAATATATTTATGATTTAAATCAAACAATAAACTTGTATTCCACAATTCAGTTAACTTTAGAGCACATAGCACATTCATGTGACTTTTGAGGGAAAGGCTAAGTGATTTGAGAGAAAAATTATTTGCAAACAGCCCAAGAGTGAACAAATTACATCGAGTTGATAGCCTCACACACCAAAAAAATAGCAATCATGTTCGATCAAATTTATGAGCCATAATGGCTCTTGATCACCGTAAGATTAATTAGGCCTGGAAAAAAAATCAGGCCGAATTTTTTTTCATTCGACAAGTTTACTTTACAAAATCTTGCCAGCAAATCTGGGTGCGTGTAAACCAACCTTTTATACCATTTATACATCACATCTGTTTGAGACAGTACTATGAGGTACTGTTTTTAGCATACAGACCTCGGACAGAATGCAGTATTTCACAATTTTGCAACACAAATTGCACTCATTCAGCATTTAGGACGATCGACACACGCGTGGGCTTTTAGGTAAACGGTTAAAAAAATTTCTAAAATCACATATACGGCCAGCCGGTCCTCACTTTTGGAGAGCGAGCTGTAGAGAATGTTTGAACGAACATACTAGGGTTAAGCTCCAACATAATAAAGAAATTATTGTGTTTATTTTTTATTTAATGGTTTAATCATAACCATAACAAAATTGTCAAATCTGATTGGCTATCAGCTGCCCTGATTTCAGCCTTAATTTGACAGTTTAATAGGACAGTACCCGTCATGCCTAAGTAATTGGACAGTACGCGCCATCACGCGCGCGCTCAAATGGCCTCTCGAAGGTGAAAATTGAAAATATATATATCATTTTGGAAAACATGGAGTCAAACGATAGCTGCAACTAGTTTATATTTCCTAAAGGAGATTAAGTTGCTTAAAGTTAAAACGAGTGTTCACTTCTTCTCTAGTCAGTGTATTTTCGCAAACAGACAACAAAAGGCGAGCAAAAGTCGCTCAAGCAAGAAAACCACAACCCTGGCCAAAACTCTTGGGACACTAACGCAATAGCTCGTCAAATTGAGGCATCTTCCCTCTCCCCCTTCTTAGCCCCCCAACATCCCGAAGCTTTTTTAAGAGGTAGAACACGAGTTAATTTAGCAAAGTGCGTCTTTGTGCCTAATTTCCTCAAGTGTCTCAAGACGTTTTGACCAGGGTTGCAAGCTGAGGCGAGGAAAATCGACGCCAACATGAATTATTTTTAATTACTGTAAACCTATCTTGATTACAAAAAATGTTAACGATAATTCCTTCCCGGGTTCCTAGGATAACGTCAACTGTGCTGCCTGCATGTTTAAGAAAATTATTACTTATTATAATAATTATATTTCGGTTTTGACAGTCTGCTTTCATTTCTTAATTCAAGCGGAACCTCTGTAATACCTTGCTATCTGAGTGAAGTCGCAAACAGTAAGTAAATGAAATCTGTATTGCAGTAAAAAAGAGCTTTCTTTTTGACAAAAGTACATCACTAAAACTGGTAATCGCGAGTTGGAGTGCTTGACACATTCTAGGCGGGGTAGAAAGGTACCATTGGGTATTTCAACAACCCCGAAATTGTTCAAAACAACGTCAGCTTTCAACCTTGGCAGAAATAGTTAAGGAATAACTACCCTTTTCCTGACCAAGCGTTGAGTATCTTAGTTAACTTGCTCCGGCGGTGCCGAAGATAACAGACTGTTTCTGGAACTGAGCAAAGTTTAATGAAGTTCGGCCTATAGTTTTGTTTTTTAAAAAATGTGGAGTATACTATTTTGTTCAAGAAAATATGGCAAACAACAAGTAACTTATAAACTAGGATACTCTCCTACTCGACTACTGATATTTCTAAACAAGACAACGGGAATGTCCAAATAAATTTGCAGTAAGGTCAAATCACCCTTTTTTTTCAGTCAGTTTACAAAGTTTTTACCGGGTTATATTGGTCCTCTCTTTTCAGTTTAAAAATCAATAAAGTTTTTACAGGGTCAAAATGTGAGAGGCCGTAAGGGGTTTACCTAGCCTCAGTACCAGGCTTTTCTGTATTTTCCGTAAAACTTGATTGGCTGTTTTTATTTGCCCTGACTTGTGATTGTAAAAAAATAAATGCCGTGACTCTATGAATGCCTTGTCATTCGTGATACGTAAAGCAGAGAAATAATTTTCCGATACCCGTGATAACTGACCACAAAACTAATTTTTTTTTCATGAAAAATTACTCGTCGAAGACCTACGAATTCTACAAAGCAACACAAAGCAGAAGAACCGACTAAACTTGTTAAAGTTGGATCAATACTTTATCGACCGCAGCCCTGCATAAGTAACTGGCAACTCCAATTAGCAGCATTTATAGTTGTTGTTTTCACTGCAGTATTATCTCCTAGAATTCCCATCCACTCACTTTTTCTGACACATTTCACAAATAATTATTGCACTTAAGGGTGACCTTTTATTGAGCAAATGCAACTGAATATTAGCCGGCAGTTATCCACTATCAACCCCATTTCCTTTTCACCATAATTACACATGTAGGAGGGTCAAATGGAGTGAACATGGGGGGATGGGACCTATGCAGCATTCGCTAGCAGCAGCAACCCCATTAAAATCTCAGAAGATCCTTTTTAAAGCCAGAGCACTAGGTTGAAATTTAATCCACAGGAGATTAAGTACATCTCAGCTTCCTTCCAATATTAGATCCACCCTCCCCAGTTACATGATTTACTTCATTTCTCTCCTTTCCTCCCACCCCTTATGGGCTCCCACCCCCGAGCTTTGCGAGGTTCTGCGATACACGTATTTCTAGTAATTCTGGAGAAGATAGTTAATTGCTACCACGAGTGCTCTTTTGCCTTCGGTATCGGCAAAAAGTTTGTTATTAACGGGTAGATAGGGGTCCAGCTGTAAAGATAACTGACAACTGGATGCGTTTTGTCTTTTGCCGAGCATTAAATAGAACTACTCGCGTCGATTGAGTTCAGTAGTCAAACACCGCAAAGTTCCAGTTCGATTATATTCGACTACCGAACCAATCGAACAACAATCCGACCGATTGGGTTCGATTAAGTTCGATCGATTTTTGGTTCGGTTTTGATCGATTAGCTACCCTAGGCCTTTGACATAACAAAATTGTAACAAAAGCGTAATATAACAAAGAATTGCAGAAATATCAGAAAAAAGAGGGGTGTGAAAACAGGTTTTGCTTTCACAAATGACTAAAGGGGGAAAACCTCCAAAAACTTATCTTGAAAAGGTCTTTATCCTGGGGGAGCACTGGCTGACTCCGGGAAGGTCGGGATCTGTTAAATTTTCCTGACCAATACTCCGGCAAATTTATGCATTATTGCTTCGTTCCTTATTGTTGTGCTTTTGTACAGGATTGTAATGTGAAGAAAATACAATACATTACAATGCCTTGCAGAAATTTGTCTGAGTATTGGACAACCCTCAGATCTTTTATACACCTCTGACACAACAAATAGTGTACACAGAACTTTGCTCCAATGTAGAGGTTTAATCCAAGACTACACCGCGTGTAAGACAAGAGATAACCAAAGAAAATTTCACAAGAACATGATTTTAAGCCTGATCTAGCCAAGCAATACAGATAACATATAATTGAACGAGTTAGATTTCAGAATACAGCAATCATTCTTGAAAGATTGTTAGTGGAAACTAAGCTTGCTTTGAAATAATAAGTTACACAGGTGGATAACGGCTTCTCACATGCACAGGCTGATTGCACCTTGAAGGTTTAAACCTACTACAGTTATGACTTGAGAAATAGTTTCACGCCTAGTAAATATCAACGAGTTGTTTACTGTTTGCAGAAGTTAAGAGTAAAGAATAAATGATCTCTACATTGGCTTTTCATATTTTTATCAGCAAAAGCAAATAACTCTGTAACAACATATTCTCTTTTCACAGCTGACTGTAGAAGGGAAAGGCCAAATGTATACGAGAAGAACCAATACTCAGGGAATAAAACTGAAAAACTTATGTTTTTGGTTTTGTTTTAAAATTTTGTATGTGCTTGCTGATTTTTGAAATTTTATATTTGTTTTTGTGCCTGGACCGCGGCATAAACCGAACTAGCCGAAATATACTGGCCTCGGGGGTCCAATAAACAAAACAATAAATAATTATTAATAAGCAAATGAAATAAAGTTCGCTAAATGGGATTCTTAGCGTCTTGCAAATGACACCCCAACCCTGACCCTAACCTTAACTCTAACCCTAGCCCCTAAAACTACCGCGCTTTAACTCTCAGCGTGTCCAAATAAATGTTTTGATTTATGTGCCATCTCTATTGCAAAGCCGCGTGGGTTCACTGTTTCTTTACCAATTACATGACCCAGGCTGCTGGTTGTTGTTCAAAATGTTTGCGGAGTTTTTCTCAATGCAATATGGAGGCGAGTTAGACTGAGAATCTTCAGCAGTCCATGTGAATGTTCCCTTGAGAGAGCTTTTGAGTTGATAGACGGCTTGCAATGATGTGGAGGGGTTAGGGTTTCTGTTGTTGGAGTTAAACCCGGCGATCAGCTTGCTCCAACTACCCAGATCGTTTGCCGCATTTGTTATGTCGCTCACCACGCTATCCACTGACTGCAAGTTTTTGGCATAGAACTGACAAAATACATAGTCGACGTCGTTCAACGGCAGGCTGATGTAGTCATTCCATGTTCCACCGTAGAAAGGTCCGACTGAAACTAAAAAGCCTCGGGCTTTCAGACGTTGTGCAAGCTGTGTGATTGCCGTGGAGAAATCGGGGTTTGACGTTCCGCCTTCAAACTAAGATAGAAAAGACAAACTTAAAACTCCTTACTACCAGCGAGTTTTCCTTGACACTGATTTCCTTGCCGAACTTGGTTGTTCCTGTGGTTTTTTTTTTACGTCAATAATCACGAGCAGGTTACCTTGTTCAAATACAGTCAAGAGTAGCTTTTGAGCAAGAATCAAGGTTTCTAAACAACAAAAAGCCTGTTAATTCGTGTGGGATACATACGAGCAGGTTGACTCGTCAAACTGGTATTTTTCGAGTGCGGGTATCCGTTTATTGAGAAACCCATGTCCATAAATGAGCCCGCTGTGGCAAGCACACGATTATTAGACCTGGGTTGGAAACTATATTCTATCAACATGCCGCAGGCGTTCATCAAGAGTGTCACAAGAAGGCAAACTCAAACATGCAAGGAAAAGAAAGGCTTTACCGGCAGGGTTACTGTGCAATCAAAAATGAACAAAATGACTAAAAAATACTCACCTGGATATCGACGCCATCCGCATTATAACTGTTAACTATACTGGAAATAGAATTATCTGCATTGTCTACCCACTGGGAGACGCTCATACCGCCGGCAATACCGAATGTTCCTCCACTGTCTGCTGATCCACCAATGGAGATCATATACTTTCTGCCTGGATTCGCCGCTTTGTCGTTAGTGATGCTATCGTAGGTAATACCCATGCTTACCCACATAGAAAATGCCTCAAAATTGCCCGTTTGTGATGGATCTTCAGCGAAACCCAGTAACATATAATTCACCTCGCTCGGTACAGAGGACAGTGAAGGAGCAGATATTCCTCCCGGCAACATCCCGAGGTATGTTCCGACAATGTGATCTCCTGTGGGGGTGCCACCGCAGTCGTCCATGTTTTCCCAGCAATCACCACCCGGACAATCACTGGCTGTATTACACCCGGCACCACAGTTGCTAGATGCTGCATTACAATAGCCTGATGTTGTGCCGCAGTCGTCATGGTTGGCCCAACACGCACCGCCTGGACACTCCCCGTCAGTGCTACACCCGGCACCACAGTTGCTAGACGCTGCATTACAATATCCTGATGATGTGCCGCAGTCGTCATGGTTGGCCCAACACGCACCACCTGGACACTCCCCGTCAGTGCTACACCCGGCACCACAGTTGCTGGATGCTGCATTACAATATCCTGATGATGTGCCGCAGTCGTCATGGTTGGCCCAGCAATCGCCACCTGGGCAATCACTTTGTATATTGCATCCGGCACCACAGTTGCTAGATGCCGCATTGCAATATCCTGATGTGCTGCAGTCGTCCATGTCTGCCCAACACGCACCACCTGGGCAATCCGAATCAACGTTACACCCAGCCCCACAGTTGCTAGAAGCTGCATTACAATAGCCAGCATAGCGCTTCCACCAAGTTTTTCCTTCGGAAAACTGAACAACATGCAGGAAAACAAGCGCCGTCAAGAATGCCTTTGATCCAAACATTTTTAATCCAGGATATTAAGAACAAATCTTGGTGAAATGACGCCCCGCCAGTGGACTGTACACCTGAGCTAAATACAAATTAAAAGACCGTAAATTTCCGAAAATAAGCCCCTCCATGTATAAGCCCCTCCAAATATAAGCCCCCCAAACCGGTAACGCAAAAAACCCCCCGTTAAATCGCCCCTCCAAATATAAGCCCCCGGGGGCTTGTAATTGGAAAATTGCCCTCAAATACAAAGTAAAACAAAAAAAAGTAAATTTACTTTAAACTATAAGGCTAGTCCAATCGATTTTGAAACGCAAATTTCCCTCCGTAGATAAGCCCCTCCGAATATAAGCCCCTCCAAAAATAGGCCCCTCGAAAAGGGCCTTTGAAAAATATAAGCCCCGGGGCTTATTTTCGGAATTTTACGGTATCTCCTCTTAGTAAACTTTTTTGCAAATAGTACCGCTATCCTGAATTTTACTTTTCAGGGAATGGTTTATCGTTTATCCAAGCAATTGAACCTTTTTAAAGCACTAGTTAAAATTTTAATAAAAGAACACCTGGGTTTAGCCAGAATAAAACAACAAGAGTCATAAACACTCTTATTCTTCGGCCATTTCAACTTCAGTAAAAATAAAACACCAACTGTGGTAACAAACATGATGAAACAACGCATGTTGCAATTAAAACCTAAGATTTTGAAGACTTGACGTTTCATTAAAACAACATACATCTTCAGAAGTGACGGTTAAAAAGATTACAGTAAAATTTAAACATCTAGAAGAAGACTGGAACCAAATAAACAGGTAAAAACGATAACTAATGACAACAAATGATGATGACAGACTCAACTTACTCAACTTTTTCTCTTCTAGCATCACGTGTTATAATTTCCTTCAGACTTCAAATCTCAGTATATTTCTAAACCCCGCAATTTTTGCCCCAAAAAGTGGTCGCGGTGTCAACGAGAAATGCTAAATGTATAATCGTAGAAATGCTGAGGCATGCTGAAATGCAAGAGCTTCTGCCTTGGACAAAACATAGATGAAATACAGTAACTGCCTTTTAAAATACATTTTTCTAGGTCTCTCAAATGGTAAACGTGTTTTATAACCTAAAAGCACTCATGTTACAAAAATGCAAGGAGCTCCTCCCGGATAAACTTGAGAGGGGCTTTGAAATGGGGCTTTATGATGGGGACTAGCTCAACCCACAACAGAGACAACTGCTTGTATTATACCTTACCCACTTGATAATCTTATTTCCTGGGAATAGTCTCTTGCGTTGTCACAATTGTCGATTAAATCAGTGCTACACCCATTTTTATATCAGTCAGAAAACCAGCTGCTTAGTGCAAACTAATGCTGACATAAGTCTTCTCCGATTGGGTAAAACAGGTTAATTATTATGAAGCCTTCGAGATAATTACTTCGTAAAAATTGTTTTTCTGTCGACGTTTTCATCGTTAAGCTCAGGGTTTCTGGCCAACACCAAACAAGCAGAGCAATATAAAAACTACAAGGTATCTTATTATATACAAACTTTTCATAATAACAAAGAGAAAGGTACTAAAATTACATTTTGAAAATTCTGGCTTGTTGGCGATTTCGTAGAGGTATGAAACTTCTTGTCGAAAAATGACTGGCTAATACTTTTCCATATTTTAACTAAGGACGTGATCAGAAAACTCAGGGGAGGACGAATTAAAAATGCAATACACTTGTTAGGAATGAATTTAGAACAATAGGTGTTTCCTCCCCAAGTCAAATTAAGAGTTAATTTCAGTGACACGATTTTGGTTGAAAAGTCAAGAAAAAAAACAAAAAAACAGTTAAAATGAATAAAGGAAGTAATTTCCTGCGAAATACCGATAGAGGATCAAATTGAGCTGAAAATGTCAAACTGGTCGACAATCTCAACAGAGACACGGCTTTGACATCTGTCTAAATTCCCAATCAAAACATACTTCTATGAAAAGAAATGTTGGCCTTGGAAACATACTCATTTAACTGAAAATGCCTGTACAGCTACAGGTGTCACTGCGGAGATGCACGAAAATGTGACATTTGCTTTGCACCGAATTCATGTGAGAAGAAACTTTCAACCGTTCATCAGTTAAACTTATAGGCTAAAACTAAGAGTGCTTAAATAACTTACAAAGATAATCGACTAGAGCGCTAATAACAACATTAACTTAACTGCAAATATTTATAGCAAATGCCACAAACGGCTAACGTAACTCTTTCTTTCAACAGAATAACAAAGAGAGTTAAATTAGTTGGAATCATTTTCTCGTTTCAGTGAGTGATGATGTCATTTGATCAGTTTCATATTCTAGATTAGCGCTCAGGCAGAAGACCTGGAATTTTAGTATCCCTGAGCGCTTCTCAAAACAAACACGTCTCTGATCGGTATCTGTCGTTAACCTCCAAATAAAAATATTTGTATGAAAAGAAGTGTTACCGTGGAAATACACTCATTTAACTGAAAATTCTTGAACAGCAAGGGGTGTTACTGCGGAGATGCACGAAAACTGGACATTTGCTTTGCACCGAACTCTATCGATCATCATTTAAGGCAATTCCATTGTTTTGCACTTGTTTTGCACTGCGCATTACTAGTATTGCGTATAACATTGCGAACTTTAATGGTGGCGGTGATTTTCACCAGTCGCCTGAAAAAAAAAAAGGTAAAAAAGGCTCCCTTTATGGTCCAAATCATTTTAATAGCTGTTCTGATAACTCTCCCGGCTTAAATGGGGTTAGGCTTAAAACAAGCCGCAGTCCCTTTGCGTAAAATGACCACTTGAAGCCAAAATTGCCCACTTTTTATTATTAAGTGTTATTTACCTCTATAGGTAAAAGAAAAATATATTTTATGGATAAAAAATTCTGGATAGTAGAAGAAGAATGACGTTAAACGCTACATTTGGAGCAAAAGAGAAGTATGGGATAGCGTAAAAAAGGTCCATTTTTTTACATTATTTTCAAGATCGAGCAATGTGAAGTCACTTTACAGAAAAATATAGCCCTGACCAACAAAAGCGCAATAGGTTTTGGTAATAGTCATAGTTTCTGTTCTATGACAATATTTTTTGACGGTTGTTAAGGATTATTTCTTGTGCCTTTTTTCTAAAAGAATTGTTTGTAAGAGCGAACCGGAAGTGCATTTTTACCGGAAATTACGTTACGCGCGGGAAGATTGACAGTTTCAAATAAAAGTCCCCGGATTTAAGGGACGAGCGCTTACGCCATAGAAAAAAATCTTGTGTGGATGTTTTTGTCTTTTTTACGGAATTTTTTTCAATGGGAACTCTGGACTTTTTTAGGAAGAGGACTGAGAAAATTTAGGAACCTAAGGAGAAACATTTCTGGTCCTTCGAAGCCGGATAAAGTGGATTAAAAGTTGGAATTTTCAGAGGAAAACGGTCTTGGACGTGGAGGATTTGTGTGGCGAGTTGACAGTAGTGTTGTTTTCGTCAAAGGTGAGGAAACTTTGTGGATTTTACTAAGGAAATCAGTGGAAAAATGTCGGACAACGAAGAAGATTCAGCCGAAGACCGTATGATGAAAGTGGAAGCTTTAAAAGCGGAAAAACGGAAATTAAAAGGGGCGATAACAAGACAGCTAAATGAGTTAGCGAGTCGGGTTGCTGGCGTCAGCGGCGGCGTTGAACCAAGAAGTTTTGAAGAAATTGAAGAAATTAAAGCTACTTTGGAGCGTTTGGAAAAGATTAAGGAAAAAACTTTCGAAATACTGGAAGAATTACGGACATTGTATCAGGAGCTAAAGAACACTGAAATGCAAGTTAAAGTCGGGGATGAAGCGGATGAATTAAACGAAAGAATTGAAGGTGAAGCTAGCGCCGCTCGTCGCGTCTTGACTTCAGTAACACGGAACACACGGCCGGTAAGTCCACCATCTTACTCGAGTAACTCTAACACCAGTTTGCCGCAAAGGAAGGTTGATAGTGGGGTGAATAACCTAGAAAGAATTCGCATTCCAACATTTAGCGGGAACAAAACTGAATTTCAGCACTGGAACGCCACATTTACGAGTTGCGTGGATGCAACTGCAATGTCTGCTCAGTTTAAGATGTTGAGATTGGAGGCATGTTTAGCGGGCCAAGCTTTAGAAACGATTAAGGGTTTAGGATATTCTGAAGCTGCTTATGAGGCTGCTAAGTCGAGGTTGTTGAGAAAATACGGTGGAAATCGTAGGGAAATTCAGTGTCATGTAGACGAATTAATAAAACTGAAGCCAATCGGAGAGGAAAATTCAAAAGAATTGGAAAAATTTGCAGACATGTTGGAGAGGGCAGTGATAAATCTACAGGAGAACAATAGAGCGGCTGATTTAGAAGCGGGAACTTTGTACACTATCATTCTTGAAAAACTGCCAGAGAAATTATTGTCTCAATACATTCGCTGGGTAAAAGAAAATAGAAGGGTCGAGTCTCTAATTACACTCAAAGATTGGACTGCAGAAGAAGCTGAATATCAGATTCAAGCAACTGAAATTAAACATGGTTTAAAATCAGGAAATTCAAGCGGCAAATTTCACAACAGAAGAAGTAAGTCTTTTGGAAGTAACCGAACTGATGACAAAAAAGAGGGGAACATGCAAAGTATGTGGGGAAGGCCATGCTGTATGGAATTGCGATGTCTTTAAAAGCAGAAAAATTCAGGAAAAATGGGCTACGGCGAAAAAAAACTAGGACTCTGTTACAGATGTTTGGGTGATGATCATCTGGGAGGGAGTGCCCAAGAAGTAGAGTGTGTAACATTGATGGTTGCAGGGACCGACACAACCGGTTGTTACATGGGAATCGAAATGGAAACAACTCTCAGTCTCGACCCCTGGGAACTCAGCCTCAAGAAACTCAGCCTCAAGGAACACGGCCTCAGGGAACCCATTCCCAGTCAACCCAGCTTCAGTTGGCCAGGACAATTCAAGGAAGAAGGAAATCCAGTCAAACAGAGATGACAACATTCTGTCACAAGGAATTCGAGAAC